TATACATCTTGAAAGGACCTTTCTCATCTTACCATGGGGAAGCGTTCACATCTCCCAACGAACTGTGACAGCAAAACACTGACTGCAACAAAATACCCTTTATCATGCTCCTACTCTGGGCAAAGCCACTGAGCATCACTTCAAACTCCGGGGCCTGAGGCAGGGGATTCCTGAATGAAAAGACCAGATTTTCCCCTTCTGCAAAGAGAGAGAGGGCATCCTTGCTTGCCAGCCTCCCTTCCCACAGGGTTTCTCCCTTTGCTGCTCAGTGCCCATCTCCCAAAAGGAAACGGTCACTGAATGGTGCCGAGGAAGGATGCTGTGGCATCCCTGTCCCTCTTCACGGTCAGGCAGAGGGCTCTGCTGGATGTGGCACACCAATTTGAAATGAAGACCCTAGTTGAGCGATAAGCTTGGGGGTTTGGTGTAGGGATCCAAACAAGGGCAGCCTGTCGCAGCAGAGATAAGCAGCTGAGCCGTCAGAGCACCTTGAAAGCAAATGAGGGAGCAGCATCAGGAGCAAGCACAAAGATAAAAGGGTGGTGGCTAAGGGAATGGAAGACGGAGAAATTTAAAAGTTTACCAAAGACATTACTTATCAAGAGCGAATTTCTGGAAACATTCCCCATCCCTGGAAACATTCAAGGCCAGGTTGGACGGGGCTCTGAGCAACCTGATCTGGTTAAAGGTGTCCCTGCTCCCTGCAGGGGGGTTGGACTAGATGACCTCTAGGGGTCCCTTCCAATCCAAAACATTCTATGATTCTATGACAGGGCATGAGGCCCAAGCTCTTGGTCACAACAAACAACATAAGAAATGACACTGAGTCAGGTGAGACCCGTTGAGTGTCCTCTCTCCAGCGCTGCCCTAAAGCACATGCTTAAGAAAATTGCAGGGGAAGAAAACCCAGGCAATAAAGAGTGATCTCTTCTCTTTCAAAAATAATAAGCACCACCCTCACTTCTTATACTCTGAGCTACTGCACAACTCTTGCACACTCTCCAGCAAACCTGGGGAGGCTACTCTGGAAGGAGGGATATTTAACCTCCAAATGAAGGCACTTCCAGAGTCGGAGGAGCAGCCCACATCTCCATCCCTTCTTGGGCATGGCAAAACACCCAGACAGGTTGGACAGATTCACCCCCAACTGGTTATTTACTGCTTTTAACCCAAATGGTTCAGCTGAGTTCAATGCACCTGATTCTCCCTGTTGTGAGCCAGGGGAGAATGAGACTTATCTGCATGCTGAAATCCGTCCAGGTGAATATACAGCATTTATTTACAAGGCACATAGGATCTTGCTGTTGTTTGGGTCTCCTTGTTTATCTTTGGTTCTGCGCTCACATCAGAAGAAGACGATATGAATCACTGGTACAGCCCATGAGCACTGCTACAAGGACAGGTCACTGCTTAAATAGATCCAGCAGCCTCTTTAGAGAGTGTAGGAGAGGGGTGTTGTGGCTGGACCTTTTGTGCTATTCCCAGATCCCTCGGCAACCTTGTTCTCAGGCCGTGCAAAGAGCAGCGTTACTAACACAGCTCCTGGAAGGGCAGTCGAAACGTGCAGAGCCACCTCGCTCCGTGCTTTGCAGGGGGCAGAGAGCAGGACAAGGCACAGGGAAGAGGAGTGGTATAAAACCCTCAAAGATCTGCAAGAATACAATTCCAGCATGAAAAGCAGAAAAATCCCACTCACACTGGGATTTGGGATATTTTGTAGAGGCATCTGAGTGTTAGGGCATAATACAAAGGCTTTTCCTTACATGACTTATTAAAAGCACTACTAATAATACACTGCAAGCTTGATCTGAAATAACCCTTGCTATTTTAGGTCTGGCTTTCTCTAGTATTGTGCCATCCTCTGTACCCGCGCTGAGGCAGATAATCCTCACATGAAGGGATTGGGCTTAGAATGTCAGGAATCCAATATAGAGCCTGAGAAGAAATAGAAGACCAGTATTTACTGCTGTCCCGAGAGCCACACTCCTCGCACACGACTCACCTGATAGCTTGGTACATGTGGCTGCTAACCTCCCTGCTACCCTGCCTCTTTCAAGATCTACAAACAGGATTCAAGCTCCAAAGTCACTAAGATGCTTTCAAATATCTTATTCGCAAACCTGCTGGTTTTGCACCAGGAAAAACCAAAGGTGAATCCCTCACAGACCTTGCCCAGTGCTTTTGGAACTCCTTCCCTGGCTGGGAAATTGTGGTTTTCTACTAGGGGTGCAGAGCCCAGGTTAGCACCCCTGGCACGGCATCAAGCTGAAGAGCAGCCGCTGCTCTGGTGTGTATGAGAAATTCAGTCTTTTGTAGTCTGTAGAGCCTCTACATGATGGTAAAACTGAATTTCAGGCAGTTTGAAGAGTTACAATTTAATCTGAGAAAACACTGCCTGTTTCCAGAACTGTATTCACCGCATCTTCTGAGTACAGGTGCTTAACTTGTGTTTCTGGTTTTTTGAGCCTCTGAGATAGAAATTCCGAGTTTGGGGATGTACCAGGATAACCTACTTTGGTATTTACACTTTCATAGCGCTGAGGTTCAAAATCCCTGCAGCGTGCTCCTCACCCCCAGGCCAGGCAGCATCCCCTGCCAAAGCACACAACGCCTGGGACGCCGGGGGAGCGAGCGAGCTCCCCTGGAGAGCAGTCCAACATGCTTTTCTGTTGATCTAGTTCCTTCTTCAATGAGTGTTTTGCTTATGATAAAAAGTACACAAGCAAGCACGGTGTGAAGGACCTCGGTGAGAGTGTCACCACCTCTAAAGAGCCACTCCAGAAGGCTGTTCTGGCTGACCACGGATCTTTTGTCTGCAAGGCAGCAGAGCTCAGAAATGCACCAAAGATCATTCTGAGCTGTTTCTACCACTGCCCTCACCACCGGAGCACCCGAGGACCTTCAGGTCTTGTATTAAGCAACATGACGAACACGTCACCTCTGGTGCATTCTCTCCTTCTCTTCTGAAGAGGAGAATGTAAGTGCAGTAAATTGCTGTCATAGGGCTTTGTTTTTTCCTGCCTGGGCTGTTGTGTCTGGGAGGTGAAGCAAGGTGAAAGCAGCACTTCTAATGCAGAGAAGAAAAAAGGACAATCTTTCTCTGATGGTCTCTGGTTTCTGTGGAAGGTAATTCTGGAGCCTTGGCTTAGGTGATGTCTTCGGTCTTAGAAGCAAAAAGTCCCAGGACCCTCAAGGAATGCAACTGTCAAACCTACTCCCCTCCTAAAGATTTTCCATAGGTATCAGCCCAAGTGATGGAGCAAACCAGGAGACTTCCAGCCTGACTTGCACCTCTACAGGAAGCCAGTGCAGAGAGAGGATGAGTGTGATGGACTTGCATAACTCGTATCACACCGCAGCATTCAGCATTGGCTGCATTTTCCTGAGGGCTGATGGCTTCATGCCCAGACGCTGTACATTTCATTATGATAAAAAGACCCACTCAATTAAAGAGCTCACTCCTGCAGCCCTTATTTTCAAAACAACACTTGTATGAACAGTCCTATGACTGACAGCAAGAAGGTTTGTGTAAGGAAGGACAGACCCTTTGAGCAGAAGTGGGGTGAACAGACCAAGCTAAACAAGCACATGTAACCCAGAAGCGTGCTTTTCAGTATGGGTAGTAGTAATTTCCCCTAAATAGAGTCCAACCTTCTCTACTGAAGCAACAACAATACCTAAAATAGTGACAACTGCAGGTTCTTATGGAAATTTTCTTCCAAGCACAGCTCTCCTACTTCCTTCTCTGAAGCAGATTTCAAAGCGTTTTGAAAAGTAAGCCAGGCTGCAGCACTTTCCCTGATTGGGAACATTGTTTTTAAACCGCTTACTGCAGATTCCTGCTCTTCCAGTAGTGCGCAGGGTGCAAGGCATCAGCAGTTTCTGTGCCTCTGCGGAAGGACAGCCACCCAGGGAAGGCAGCCTGCCTTCGGCTCTGCTCTCCTCCTGCCTGCATCGCCTGCCCTCAAGCTATTTGCCTGCCGTGCCTGTGCACTCACATGTAACGTCCTGGGTGTTCTTGGCTTTCCTTCCACGAGCTTGGTAAGCTCCTGGTGAAATGCCACCAGAGACCGGTCACTTGGAGGGAATGGGATATGGGAACAGAGAGGGAATATCCCAACAGCATCCCCTCCTGCACTGCTCCCCACCGCTGGAGGAGGCTTCGTATCACCTTGGCAATTCTCCACTGTGAGGAGGCACACTGAGAATTTAATTTAAGTGTGAAATCTCTGCAGTGAACCAGAGGAAAACTATCTCAAATCCACACAGATAGTGTTTCAAGTTAACTAATCCCACAAATCAGAAAGGAAATAAGCTATTCATTGTTTTCTCCTTCCAAATTAACAAAGGCGAATCACTAATAGCAGGCTTATAACAACATCTGGGGAAGACAAAAAAGCCAAGTATGGCGCCAAGGCTGGGGATTTGGGGACTAGGTCAAAGACGACAGAACAAGCCTCTGCCCTTGAACTGGACCAGGGCAGAGTGGCCTAAGATAAAGCTTTAACTGAGTGACTTGAAGCTTTCCCCAGCTCCTCTCTTCCACCTCTGGCTGTGGCTGGTGGGGCACGTCCCCGCCAGCTGTTTCCCTTTCTCATAGCACCGCTGAAACCCTGACAAGTGAGGATGAGCTGATGTACCCACACCTGATGGCACCAGTTCAGATGGACACTCAGACAAGTATTTATCTAAGTACATGCTTAACTCCATCCCTATTTAGCAAAGTACTTACGTATAGGCACAAATTTATGTCTCTATGGCTACAAGAGACGTAAGCCTGTTATTAACACTTTTTTTTTTTCCTCAGTCAGGGCTTATGTGCCATTCTTAGTCGCAGGATGACGCTCTGCATACACGGAAGGCCACGTTTCTCCTCTGCTTCTCAGAGTCCGCTCTGTCCTCACCATGCAGGAGCCAGAGCTGTTTGCAGAGGCTCAGCAGTGTAGAGATGGGACAGAGGAGAGCGCGGTGGAGAGAGCAAAAGGCAAAGCAAGACTTACGTTGGCTTTGAGGCTTCAGCCTGGTCAGTCTGCAGTTTCTCCCCGCCTTCAACTTCCATGGTGCAGTACACAATGCGGTTGGGGGCCAGCGACTTCAGACCCTGCACCTCCATGATGACAACCTGCGGGGCAAAGAAAAAGCAGTGTAAGAGGAGCAGTCTCCTTTGGGTCTCGCTCTGGCTGCTGACCCGCGGGGTCAGCCAGCGCTGGCATCCTCCACACGCTCCTGGATGCTCCTGGTGGCAGGTGGGCAGGGACGGTGGCACTGCCCAGGCTGAGCAGGGACCGTGGCAGCCAGCGAGGTCTGTATGGATACTGGAAGATCTCCCCCTGGCTGCACATAGGCTAGCTGAATCCCTTGGGTGCCCAGGGTTGCACCAAGTTTCAAGAGATGGGCCTCATGGACATGGTCCTGCCCGACCCAAAAATGCCTTAATATGTGAAATCCAGAAAAAAAGCATACAGCTACTCAGCTTGTACCAAAAGCCTGTTTTCAAGATTAATCATAGAATGGTTTGGGTTTGACCTTTGAAGATCATCTAGTCCAACGAGGGTTGGCCAAGGGCAGGGACATCTTTCACTAGATCTGGTTGCTCAGAGCCCCATCCAACCTGACCTTGAACAATTCCAGGGATGAGGCATCCACAACTTCTCTGGGCAACCTGTTCCAGTGCCTCACCACCCTCATCTTAAACATTTCTTCCTTGATTGAATCTAAACCTACCCTCTTTCAGTTTAAAACTGTTGCCCCTTCTCCTGTCACTACAGACCCTGATAGAAAGTCTTTCTTATTAAGAAATCACCATCTAAGTTTCTTGCAGGTAATTACCTTTTTTTTTTCTTTAAAGCTGATTAATCCTGTTAACCACATACCTTAAACATTTCTAGAAGAAACACTGGGAGAGTTTCTGTTTGTGTTCTGCTGCAGCTGCCTATGAAGCGTATACACAAGGGTTGAAAATTCCTCTCCTCAGGTCTTCTGATCTGCCCTTGCACTGCAGATCCCTCCCTGGCACAGGGAGCTCCACAGACCCTCTGACAAGCACACATTTTCGGCAAAAGCTCTCTTGCAGCAGGAGTTTTGTGCACAGAGCCGTGCACAGACCTGCCAGCTCCTGAAGTCAGTGCTTCACTGAACTCCTGCTTCCCGCTGGATGGGGTTCAGCTGGAGCCAAGCGTTTGAGACATCCCATTGTAAGGGCGAGTCCCTTCATGCACGGCTATACGTGCTGCACAGGCTTTTCCAACAGAGAGGTCTACTGCTTTGTGATAGTTCCCTATTCCTCCGTATGGGAACGCTTAGAAGTCAGGCTTTATTTGATGCTGCTCTTGAAGGCAGTGTCTCTGGGTTCATAGCCCTATTTTTAAATAAGACCGAACTGAGTATTATGAAGATGGTTTCAGGCACCTAATGAGTTAAACTCTGGTAGTGGACAACTAGCATTGTTAAGTTCTGCATTGGCACGATATATATAACAAGAAACCCCTTAGGAAAAGAAATAAACAGGAAACCACACAAAAATAGAATTTTCTGATTTCTCTGCATCCTACATTTTTGACCCCACCCTGGTAGTTGTTTTGACAATGTAACATAAACCCACGCACTGACAGACAACAGCAATTCTGCACGGGTGTGCTGATGACCGCTTGGAGTAAACGTCTCGCCTAGACCGCAAATATGTTTGCACAGAACAGCGGAGTTGGCTGAAAGCAGCTACTGCAGCGATGCTGCTTCCAGGACCGAGACAGCCTGTGTCAGGGTAGCGGCAGGTCCCTGCAGAGCCCTGCCTTCCCCTGGGCTGTACAGACAAACTGCTTGACAAAGCGCTGAGCGGAAAGCCAGCGCGCAACCCAAAGCAAAGAGCAAGCCAGCAAAGTGCAGTATTTCCACACAAACTGCAAGCCAATCTGTTGGGTGCATTCAAACCCCAGCAATTTTTAACAATTCTCCGAAGAGGAAGCCAGGCTTGCAGGGAAATACAGTGACAGCCCTAACTGGCAAGAATTAAACACGCTGACGTTTATGGTGTTGCGTTATTGTGCTGGTTTGGGGGACAATACGGGCTCAGGGTTACCAGGCTACACTCAGTAACGAGCCACATGAAGAGGTCAGTTAATGATGCA